CTTTTCTATTTTAATATATTTTAAAATATAATTTATTCCTGTGATGGCAAAGCTGATTTTTTAGCAGACATTACTCCAGTCTTCAGTGTCACATGATCTTTCAGAAATCATTCTAATATACTGATTTGCTCCTCAAGAAACAGTTCTTATTATAATAAGTGTTGAAAGAATTTATTTGAAACAAATCTTTAACATTATAAATGTCTTTACTGTCTCTTTTGAGCAGAGAATTGCATCCTTGCTAGATAAGTTTTAAATTCTTTCAAAATGATACTGCCACCAAACCTTTGAATGGTAATGTGTATTCTTTAAATATTATTTAATAAATACTAAAATATGCAAACATATTGTAAATATGTAAAATCACGTTATTTTTTATCACACTGAGGTCAGTAAAATTCAAAAGGTCTGACATACCTTTAGAGTGGAGGAAATTGTAAAGCTCCCTGCCCACGTCAGTGTTCATGGTCTGTTGGAGGAAAGTGTCCTGGTCCTGCACTTCCTGTGAGGGCACATCCTCCACTTCTCCTGTCACCCTTCTATAGTTGTCTAATAGATTCAGCAGAGCTTTATATGTGGGCTTGGAGAGCAAAGTACTACTCACTTGCTTGAACAATCTAAGAGAGAAAGAGTGCATAATCACATGCATGTCTGCGTATATACTGGATGTGGTTATCTGTGTGTGCAGTTTGTGTCTTACGGGCGTGATGAGTGGTCATTCCTGGAGCCGGTCTCAGAAGAAGAGATCAGTGTCTGAGGATCAATCACCAGCTCTGAGACTGTGGCCCTGTTATGGTCTAACGTGTACAGCGTCTCAGACAGAGACTTGATCTCAGCGTCAGAGACACTGGCTAATGCTTGGGATGGGAAATGGATTCATAAAGAAAGAGTTAGTACCTGAAGAGTAAAAAAAAACTTGACAAAGCCTGAGCAAAATGAAAGAATAAAGTATGAGAAAAACTGAAACTGTAATTACTGCAATTAAGATAACCAAGCATTTAGTTTCAAATTTTAAAATTCAGTTTCTAAAATTGGAGTCAAGAAAATAATGTTAATTATCAGTCAAAAATCTGAACGTGTTCAGTGTTCATAACTGTAAATCTAACTGGATTTAAGTTTTTTTATTGTTTCTGTTTTTATATGTTCGTGTCACACAATGCTGTGTGTAGTGCAGTTTTGTGCTGTCGTTGACAGCTACAACCGTAACAGCAATTAGAATTTAACTTACATCAGATTTATCTTACCTGTAGCATTTGTAGACCAAAAAATGTTTTATGAAAATAAATAAATAGATGACAGTTCCTTTTGTCTGAATATTATTGCAAGTGTTCCTCATACAAATAACTAAACTGAAACTGTGATTAATTACATAATAGGAAACATGGTGTTTAGTATTTTGGAATGAATTTTGAGATTAACAAAGTGTGTGAAACTATAGAAGTGAACACAGCTGAGTTTCATGCCACTTTTGGGATCCAAAATAAACAGGACTCAGGGTCACTGAGTACCTTATCACTGATAACCCCCTAATATTTAGAACTAAATCTTTCTCTTATTTTTATGCATGCTGATTTACCCCGTGCACGTGACTCAACAGACCTTGAGAATTGTACTGTATTTAAGAAACGAATGAAACCTGTCTGTTTTTTTTAGAATTACTTTGAATGATTCATCAGTATATGTGATTCTTCTGATTCGCTATTCGTTTGTGCCTTTTGTCTAATTGAACGCAGACGAGGAGTTTTAAATTATATTTGTTAAACTACAAACTTCAGTCCAGTTTGGCTTGACAGAACAGCAACATTTAACTTTACTTTAGCTTTAATGTACAAGTTGTTAACGTACTTTGTTAAACCTACACTCTCAGAAAAAAAGGTACAAATTAAAAGGTACTAACATGTACACTTTAGGTACTATATGTAATATGTACTTTCAAATATGTACTATTTAGGGGTAAATAAGGTACAAAGACATACCCTTTAGCCTTTTTTACTGGTACCGGTTTACCAGTACCAGTGAGAATGTATTTGTTCTGATTTTGTTGACCCTTTGACACTTAATATCTAATGTTTTACAGAATTACAGATGTTGAAGCTCACCTCGACGACCACACTGCTTTTTATAGTCATCGCAGCAGTACTCATGCTGTTGGCATTGTGAATCGCAGTGGCAGTCATTCAAGGCATCATATAACTCTCCACATCTTCCTTTACAAGAAAGTGAGCCTTGAAGGAGGTGAGATATATTTCACATGCTGACTGCTAAAGCGTCACTAAAATGTTTAATTTTCAGTTACATTTTATGTGAAAGAAAAGATCTACCACCCAGAGGCATGTCAGTAACCTATTATTTGTACTAGTATTAGAGCTTGATAGTACTGAGTAAAACATAGAACAATTAGACATAAGGCACAGGATTTGATTAAGGAGATTTGGGTATGAATCATTAGGAGGAAAAAATAAATAAAATAGAAAACATTAGTGTAAAATTCAGTATCACAATTCCACACTTACAGAAGTCCAGAGAATCTGAGAAAGAGAGAGAAGGAACACTGGGATAATTACTATGGTGTACAAGAGCAAAAGATACATGAACATGTTTAGTTTAATAACTTAAAAATGTATAATCAGGATGGAAATTGAAGGTATAAACTTACCACTGTAGCCCTGAGAGATCAAGGTGATGGTGAGAAAGAGGATGAGGGTGACCTTCATTATGGACTTTAGACAATCCAGATGCACAAACTGCAGATTAAGACTCAGGTTTTTATACCATCTCAGATCGATAAAACTTTAGGAACTCCTCCCATGCACCAACACATTCTGTTGTAATAATAACTACTAATATTTAATAATAAAGGTAACTTGCTGCGTTGCTATGAGGATAAAGGTAATTGAGGGAGTGGTGAGATGATTAAAAAGAGGAAGTTGATAAAAAAAAAAAAAATTTGATTCTCTTTTTCAGTCAGCTGGTCCAAAATCCATCCAGTTTTCAGGCTCCAGGAATGGAAGACATCCGGTGAAAAAGATGAATATAGCATTTATATAGAATATACTGTAGCATTTAATATAATATGTACACTCTCTTGAAATCATGGACTAATCCATTTAGCAAGAATGTGTTCTTGGCAAGAAAGTGTTCCGTAAAGTGTTTCCATGTGCAAACAGTCAGAAAGACCAGGTGGTGGCATTCACACTGCAATCACAATACTTTTGTCAAAGGTTTTTATCTTCACGTTGGTGCAGAGCTGACACACGTTCTCTTTTTGAAGTGTGGATTTGTTTTTTCCACATATTTTAATTTGAATCAATTTAAGTTGTGTTTTAATGTGCTTTTTTAAATACATGTTGTTGTTGTTACTTTCTCATGTGTGTATAGACTATCCCATTAGGATTGGTTCTAGGGCTGAACAATTAATCGAATTCCTAATCGCGATTACAATTACGAATGCCACAATTACGTAATCGTTCAAAGTCCACTTATGTTATTTTGTGTGCAAGATGTATTTTTTTTTTCTTCTACAAGTTATTTTAAGGGTTTTTTCAATTGTTTTAATGTTAGTTTTAGAATAACATTAGCTATAATACCATGCATATTTTTTTTACTTAAACAAGAAACCAATCCATTGTAGGCTATAGTTGACATTTGAGGCTTAATACTATAGAAAAGCAAAAAAAAAAAAAAAAGTTTTTCAGAGTGTTTTCTTTTAGCTTGTTTATTTTAATATAAAAAATGACAAGTTGCTTCAAACAATGGTATAAACATCAATCAGTGTAATTAATAATCAATTACAATTTCAAGGGAATAATCGACAATTATGATTTTTGTCATAATCGTGCAGCCCTAATTGGTTCCAAACAACACTAAAATACTATTGTTATTATTATTTGAGCAGATTTATACATTTTTATTTCTATTCTAATTTCGTTAGGCATTCTTATTCTTTTCATTTGTTTTTAATGAATTACAGTTCCTTCTGTTCTCCAGTAAGCTGTAGTTTAAACTCCTGTGCAGTAGATGGCGCTTCATGTGACTCCCAAGTTGTCTTTAGTTTGACCTGTCTCTCTCTCTCTCTCTCTCTCTCTCTCTGTCTCTGTAGAAAGCGTGCTTCAATGACATTCCAGTTACTGATGTAAGGAAGCCTGTGTTAGTCCAGAGGAAGATGTAGAAATGGCATTGCATTCTTTATTTTGGTCTGTTATGGCGTTATTTTAATGACAAATGTCGAGAGCGCATTATTGTAGCGCGAAAGCACATTAATACAATGCGCGAGCGCGAATCTCTGCTCGCGCGCGGATTTCCCTTGCACTCGCACAAAACCGGACGCTGGCGCTCAGATACACGCTGCTCTCGCCCAGAGAGAGTGCGCGCACTTAAAACGGGTCACTCCG